AGTAGTAGTAGTAGTAGTAGTAGTAGTAGTAGCAGTAGCAGTAGCAGCAGCAGTAGTGGTAGTGGTAGTGGTGGTAGTAGTAGTAGTCGTGGTGGTGGTGGTGGTGGTGGTAGTAGTAGTAGTAGTAGGAGGTGTGTGATCCCCATGCGAAATTTTTGTTTGTAATCGAGGCATCAAAAATATCAAATCAGGCTGTTGGCGTGGGGTACCTGGTGCTCGTGTTTTTGAGTGCACCAAAGCCTCGCCATGTTTCTCGGATGTGCTGCTGTGATTGAGTCCATGACGATAATGGAATGTTGCCACGGCCTCTAGGAGCTAGAACTTGTGGGAGATGTCGCGAAGATGCTTGTGCCAATGCCAAGAAAAATGCAGAGCCCTTTTGCTGCGAAGCTTTAGGTGTGTTATTCTGGCAATCAAATCGCCTTGCGACCTCTGAAGCGACTTTGCTTCGGCCTGAATCAGCTCATCTTCTTAGCTGCTTAGCTACTTAGCTCTTCTTACCTACTCCTCATCCTCTGTTCACTCCTTCTTGCCTACTCTGTGGGGTTTTGTTGTGTGTCGCTTGGGACTTGAGTGCATGTTCTCGCATGTTAATGCCTCCGTGATTGGAGTCTTTTACTCCGGGTTGATGTCGCTGCCAATCAATCATTGACACAGCGTGCGTACATAAACTGTCGCATCGAATCGGGTCTTTTGGAATACGTTTCGGAGGACATCATCCAGCAGGTCAAGGTCGTCGATGGATACAGCAAGGCAGCTTGCTTGCCACAGTGTTTCCGTCCACACCTGCAGCAGATTGTAGCAGACGTTGCGTTAAAGTTACGTATCACTGTCCGCATCTTTTTCTGCGAGTGTCAGGACGCTCTGGTTTTTGTGTGTACAGAGGTTGTGCATGCAAGGCATGTGCCTCGCACTTGTGCCGTTGTGCCGGTACAGGAGAGAGCGATCGTAGACCTCCTCAACGAGGCGTGTCAGCTTAGGCTGAACTAGCTTTGAGTTGATTGGTGCTGGCCTTGTCCACTCGTGTCATTCATGTCTTGAAGGAACTAGGCCACAGGTTGCGAGATACTGCTTCTATGAATATGAGTTCAAGTTATGCATACTTGCAGGTAGTGGTTGCAGGGTCTGTCGGTAACAAGACCCAGGCTCAACAGATGTAGCGAAGGACACACAACGGCACGTAAGCGCTGTAAGAGTGCGAGTGGCCTCATGAGTGCGAGACCTTGATGACCACGACGTCTCGCAACAGGCCGGGCTCATGGACCGGTATGGCCAGGGCAAGGCCAGCTTCTCGGGGCTCCCGAGTTTTTAGTTGCGCCTGCTGCCAAGCTTGCAGCCCCAAGAGGGGCCCAGGCCCCGACAAAACTGGCCATTGCACCCGTCGGAAGCTTTTAGGTCCAGCGACGCTTAAAACCGAGCTTTTGGAGTTTTGGGAAGGCTTTGGTCTTTGCCGGCACGAAGCGGGAGTGCGAGCGGCCTCCGGCTCGGGCTCGGACAGCTCTCAGGTGGGTTTAGGGACGTAGCCCGTGGTCCGGAAATCCCAGGCTCTCCAACAACCTCTACAGAGCGGGAGTCCCGTTCGCCCGGCCTTCTTTCTCAGCTCAAGTGTCGGTTTCAAACCTGCATGTCCTCGGGCATTTCTCTGCCGTGCCCAGACACGCAGCTAGCAACGACTTGCGCGGATGGTGGGGGGATAGCGAGATCGGGAGTGGACATAAATTGTCATAACTCACCGCATGAGGAGCCTGTGACACGACAGCCATCGAACGAGTCGCAAAGCATGCAAGTCTCACTGCCAGTCCCTGACCTCAGTGGCACACTCGGACCGGGTGCCAGGTGTTCCTCGATCCACGGCGACAAGGAGCTTCGTGGCGAGAATGGGCGGATCATATGAGTCTTCCATGCCGCCATGTGCCGATCAATCGGCTGCAGATGGTAGAGGCATTACTTTGGGCCATGACGATTGCTCGTACAAAGTGGGGTTTTTGGGCTTGATGCGTGGAATAGGCGGGGACAAATTCAAGGCATGGAAATTCGTGAGAAGTCCGAATCCGTCATCAGTTCTCGCCAGCCATAGCCTGGCCTCTGGAAACCTCGAACCATCCCAGACCCCCTTGATCTAGACCATGCAGGATCAACGCCAGCGAGACGAAGCGCTGAACGGCTTGAAATCCGGGAAGCTGAAGGTCCCTCCGGTCATTTGGAAAAGCTGCAAGTGTTTGTTTCAAATCTCGTTCACAGAGGGCAACAAGGACCTGTCTGCCTCGGGATGCATGTAGACCCCTCCTTGGTCTTCCTTGCACAGTTGCGGAGCTGTTCTCAGCTCAAGACTTGCTGGGTTCAGTAAATCAAATTTCACAAAGGATCTAGGGCTTTCCGTCCACCTGCAGCAGGTCCTCGTGGCGACTGACGTGGCAGCGAGAGGGCTTGACATCAAGGGGGCCTTGCTCTTAGAAAGGCACTTGATCCTTACAGTACACGTGCCTAAACTCAAAGCTCTGCAAGTATAACTTGAGAATGACAAGCATTCTGAACTGTCCTGCGCCTTTCAGATTGAAGAAACTGCAACAAGCCTGAACCCACGTTTGCGTAGGAGACAGGGACACAGGGTCTGGGGCGGAAAGTAGAAGACCCTGAGGTTGGCCTAGTGGTCAATTATGATGCCGCAAACAACACGGAGGACTCGGGAAGACCACGTTCAGACGTCCCGGCAGCTTGCCGTAAGCTTTGGCGTGCCTCAGCGCGCTGCAGGACTATGTGCACCGGATTGGCCGCACTGGCCGTGCTGGCTGCAAGGGCTTTGCCGCCGGGCTCTGAGCTTGATGTGGTGTTTCAGTTGCTATCCAAGTTTGTTTTGATCGGTAGGCTGATATCGTGACGTGCCACAGCCATCCGAGCCTTCCAACCTTGAGAGCTCAGGTCACTTTCCTGGATAGAAGAGCAGATGCCGGGAAAGCAAAAGGCATTATGGAGGTGGCCCACGACCCAATACCGCAACCTGGGCCCATGACACCGCGACTCTGCCAGGTCATGCAGCGCACCAATCAGCCCGTGCCCGCCGACCTGCGAGACATGGTGCCCGGCCCAGGTCAAGCTCTTCCCCTTCGAACTAACGGTAGACTCAGACCAGAAGGATTGCTATGGTGCCTGAGCTGCAAGCATGTGGCCTTCTGAGGCCGGCTCTGCGCGAGAAGAGCGCGGAGGGCGCTGGGGTCTACGCCTGAGTTTCTGAGATCTCTGAAGACGCCCAGGATTTCAACTGCAATAGTTGGACGAGAACCATGAAATGAATGATGCGGTCGGGCACAGTACCGGCAGATTCCCCTACATGCTGAAGGGTTGTGATTGAATCTCCGTTCGAGGCGCTTCATGCACTGTCAAGCTTCATTCGCATCGCAACTTGCTGCAGACACCAGCAGATCAAGCTCTCTCGGCTAGTGGCCAGAGGTCGCAAAAGGTCTGTTGCAGTTGTGGAGGATCGTGTGTCAGCCTGTGTCGCTGAGGAGGACGGGGTGGTGGCGGCGGAGGTGGCCGTGGAGGCTCGGACGGGCTCATGTGCACCTTCATCTATCGGGCTTCGTCGTGGCTCTGGCTATGATTTTTGGAGCTTCTAGTGGCTCGGGCCGAAGACGTGATGAACAGCCCATGTTGCCAAGCCGGGATTTTGGTTGGGGATGTGACAGCTGGAGAGGCGGTGGCTTTGGCGGCGGTGGTGGTGGAGGCTGGCTCTTCCACATACTTGTTGCAGCTTGTTGGAAGTGCTCCACTCGGGAGGCGGCTGGGGCAGCTACGTCCAGGGCCCAGCAGAGACTGTTGCAGACGGCTCCGAAGACAGGTGCTATCAGGCAGAGGATGGGCCATGCTCCAGCATCAAAGTTTCTTGAAATTGCTGTTGGCAGTGAGCCGAGGGGGGCGGCAGCCGAGGGCGCAGCCGTGCTCCTGCCATGCTTGTCAGGTCTCAATTCTTGTTTCCAGTGACAACTTGAGAGGGCGCTTTTCCATATATATATATATCATATGTATATATATATATGAATATGACTATGAATATGGAAACAAGTGTAAATAGAAATAGAAATATAAACAGAAATAGCTAAATAAGTACAAATATAAATATAGATATAAAGATGAATAAAAAATAATTATGAATATAAATATAAATAGAAATCAATGAATATAAATATAAATTGAATGTTGAATTTTATTTTATGCTAAATTTAAATTAAACGAAATAAAGTAAATAAATCAATAAAAATAGAAAATATATATAAATATAAATATAAATATAAATATAAATATAAATATAAAAATAAATAAATAAATAAATATATATATATATATGACCAACCTGTTGTGTTCATTAGACATTCGAGGGCATGTCGACATCAGATTCCCGCTGATGTTACCCATGTGTGTATTGCAAACAGACACGAAAGCACACGGTCACACACACACACGCGCGCGCGCGCAAACACTGACATCCGTTGTGTTTTGGCCATGCTTGTGCTTCCGCCTGCAATGCCTACACAGACGGTTCGTGCAAGCAGGCAGGGAGGGTGATGCAAGGCCGGCAAAAGAATCAAGCACAAGAACAAGGGACGAGAAAAGATGCACCTGCAGAAGCTTGCTGCCACATCTTTTGCAGAAATCAAGAACTGCCGACGTGTGTCGCTGCCGCGCACAGGAAGCCCGAGGCGGTGGTGAGCGGCCAGTTTTGCCGTGCCGGAGGCGTCAGGTGAGCTTCACGTTGATGCATCTGGTGTTCTTCAGCCGGTCTTCTAGTTTCGGACATGCTTAGTCTCAGGGCTGATGCCTTCACAATGTGGTTTGCATCGCAACTTCGACGAACTTGGGCTGCTCCCCTCGCAGTGCACTGATCTCGAGATTTTGGTTCTTGTCTCATCTGGCCGCAGATTGCAGTCTCTCAAAGCTACTGGCCGAGCACGCCCGAGATTGGAGATGCGGAGCTGCAATCTGGAGCCTATCTTTCCAGGCACAAACAATGTGCTGCCTTAGACCCTTTCTGATGAGCAGCGCCCGAGCCCGAAGCCTCACCTATACCCTCGGGGCAGGCTCTGCCTTGCACACCTTCAGCCCCTGCCAATACCCGCCCTGCCCTGCGGCCCTTCCTCGGTGCTCCGGGACGGCGTATCGCCGACTTGCTCGCCGCCTATCCTGGCTGGGGACCCCCTCCCAAGGAAGCGTGCGCCGAACATGCGCGGGGCAACAAGCTTTGCACCGTGTGCAGGGCTCAGGTCAGTAGTGGGGTTGTTGACGGCAATGTTCTCGCGACAAGTCGCGTGCAGAGATGGGGAGGCTTTCCACAGAAGGCCACTCGGTCGCCTCCTGGTGCATGGGGGCCTTCGTGGGCTTTGCAGCAAGTCTCGATTCACGATGTGAGATGGGCTTAGTCTCCGATCCCCAGTCACTGAAAGATACTAGGAGGATCAGAAATCGTAGAGGAGTGGAGTAACAGGTCGTCATGGTCCATGCCATTGGCTCAAAAGCGCATTTTTGTCGAAGTTTCACTTCGCAGGGCCGATTTTGAGGCGCATGCTGCTGCTTGCAAGTCAGCTTCAGTGTATGCAGCACATGATGTGGATCTGCCCCGAAAGTCACCCTCCAGGCTCTTCCCAAAAGCGGCTGCAGGCCATGGCTGCGCCGAGAATGCAGCCCGCCTGATCATGGCTGACTGGAAGCCGAAGTGCAGTGTCCTTTACTTCTTACTGCCTTTTTCTGACCAGGTTGAGGCCGCTTCGCGGCAGCTCGGCCACAACAAAGCGACGGAAGCATGCGGATGAACGAGCCTCCTTCCCTGTCATCCTGGTGTTGTCGCATCATCCTGTGAAACCTTAGACATGTTCAGAAGCCATGTGTGCGTCAACAAACGTCGTGACGTGCAGCGTCACTGTGGGCATTCTTTGCCTCGTGACTTTGTGAGACGGAAGCAAAGTTCTGGAAAGGCACGGCGATCCTCCTCCTCACCATCGCCTTAAGCGTTTTGCTTGGCGAGCAAAGCTTCGCCGTGCCGCCGACCACGCGAACCCGGACAACGGCCGGCATCGAGGCTGTGCACCGTGCGTGTCAGAATGAAGCGCAGCAGCCTGGAGTCTTCCCGAAAATTTGCATCCTCATGAATCTCAACAGCCGCTTTCCACTTGCCCATCAGGGCGTCGCGGAGCCTCTTCCGACCTCGTCGTCGCTGGGCATTCATAGAGGGGGCTTTCAATGGCTGTTTACCCGACTAATTGCTACAAAGGACCAGGTCGAAATGCATGTCCTCCCATGCTCTCTTTCATTGCATTCAGCTGAGGTTCGGAAACTTTGCCGGCAGAAGCTTCCAGTCTTCTCGACCGCAGGCCTGCAATGCATGAGACCGACATGACGGCCTGTCCTCCGGCAAAAGCCTCCACCTGCAGATGCTTTCCCATCAGGGCAAGATTCAGACGTCTTGGCTTCTGAGAATAGACAGTGCTCACACTGGCACAACCAGACGCGATTGTACCTGCAGGTCAGATCCAAAAACGTCCGCAGGTCCGGTCCAAAAACATTTTGGAACACTCACTCACTCACTCACTCACTCACTCACTCACTCACTCACTCACTCCCTCGCTCACTGACTCGCTCACTCACTCACGCACTCACTCACTTACTCCCTCGCTCGCTCGCTCACCCATTCACTCACTCACTTACTCACTCCCTCGCTCACTCGCTCGCTCTCTCCCTCCCTCCCTCCCTCCCTCCCTCCCTCCCTCGCTCGCTCGCTCGCTCGCTCTCTCTCTCTCTCTCTCTCTGTCTCTCTGTCTCCTCTCTGTCTCTCTCTATCTTCGCTTCTCTATTTCTCTCCTCTTCTCTCCGCTCTTCCTCTCTCTC